TGCATCACTATTGTGCCAGTATTACTAACAGGTGAGAGTGTTGCTTTGTCAATAAACATAATTTATTCAAATTTGCTGGAAACCCCCCTCCCCCAAGATGATCCTTTAATTGTACAAACGAATATCATGGTCATTGGCGTTTCTCTGGTGAGGCCCAGTTCATCTGGCGCCCAACTGAGTTGACTGGAGGTGAAACATTCACAACATTGGCCAAAGTGTGATGTTACGCCGTGTGTCATGGACTGCTTCGAGAAGTGGCACATGCACGCGTGCGCGTAAAGAGTGTGCGGTATCATAAACTGTGAAGTGACTGCATACTTCTGTATACATTTTATATACATATGTAGCTGTTGCAAGACGTTCGCACTCCTGCTTCTACACAGTGTGGTGTGCCCAATACAATTTCACACATCAAGAAGTAGTGGCCATTTTCTGGCAAAAGCCAAACGTTTACATTGTCAAGGGATCTTTTGTGGCAAGCTAGGAGATGACTCATATGGATTTGCTCTTGGTAACAGGATGGAAATGTCTATTAAACTGACACTATGCTATTCTTCTTTTTGAGGCCTTTTACACACACACACGCACGCGCACGCACACACGCCAACCTTTATTGTTATTTCATTTATTATTTGGATTATTACTATTATTTGGATTATACTATGTACTATTATACTACTATGTATATACTACTATATACTGTATACTATACTATTATTTGGGTACCTGTTCAGCCTTACAAATGCATAATTTCATTTAATATTGCAATTTGTTAAACAGTGACAGTGCAGCTTAACGTCGACTCAGAGACCTCCATACATGCCGATGGACTCAGGCTCACACCACACAAGGGGGTGTACACTCTCTGTCCCTCCCTCCCCTCTCTGTCACCACTCTTATGCCTACCGATTTAACATCTCACTGTACTGGGGCTTCAAACTCATTTTTCTTCCTATTAGGATTTTTCATGTTATTTACTCTCATTTTCCAGGGTAATTTGAATGTACTTCAACCCGTACATGGTGAGGATCGACAGTATTCCTGCAATGAGTGTGGTGAATCATTCAGTCAGCATGTAATTCTGAGAGCACATCAGCGCATACATAGTGGGGAAGAGCCATTTTGTTGCATTGTGTGTAATAAGTCATTCAGCTGTAAGAGTCTTCTAAAGACGCATCAGCGCATACATAGTGAGAAGCCATTTTGTTGCATCGTATGTAATAAGTCATTTAGTCATCAGAGTCATCTGAAGACACATCAGCGCATACATAGTGGTGAGAAGCCATTTTACTGTGATGTATGTAATAAGTTATTTAGAAAGCAGAATCATCTGAAGACACATCAGCGCATACATAGTGGGGATAAATCATTTTCTTGTGATGTATGTAATAAGTCATTCAGTGAACAGACTACTCTGAAGACACATCAGCGCATACATAGTGGGGATAAATCATTTTCTTGTGATGTATGTAACAAGTCATTCAGTGTGGTGAGTACTTTGAAGACACATCAACGAATACATAGTGGGGAGAAGCCATTTTCTTGTGATGTATGTAAAATGTCATTTAGAAAGCAGTGTCATGTGAAGACACATCAGTGCATACATAGTGGCAAAAAGCGATTTTGCTGTGATATATGTAATAAGTCATTCAGGGATGGGAGTGCTCTGAAGATACATCACCGTATACATAGTGGGGAGAAGCCGTTTTGTTGTGATGTATGTAATAAGTCATTCAGGGATCTGAGTGCTCTGAAGGTACATCTACGCATACATAGTGGGGAGAAGCCGTTTTGTTGTGATATATGTAAAAAGTCGTTCAATCAGCTTTGTAATCTGAAGACACATCAGCGCATACATAGTGGGGAGAAGCTGTTCTGTTGTGATGTATGTAATAAGTCATTCAGAGATCTCAGTAGTCTCAAGACACATCAGCGCATTCATAGTGGCGAAAAGCCATTTTGCTGTGATGTATGTAATAAGTCATTCAGAGATCGGAGTGCTCTGAGGAAACATCAATGGCTACATAGTGGGGAAAAGCCATTTTGCTGTGATGTATGTAATAAATCATTCAGAATTCGGAGTTCTCTGAGGAAACATCAACGCATACATAGTGGTGAAAAGCCATTTTGCTGTGATGTATGTAATAAGTCATTCAGAGATCGGAGTACTCGGAGGAAACATCAATGGCTACATAGTGGCAAAAAGCCATTTTGCTGTGATGTATGTAATAAATCATTCAGAATTCGGAGTACTCTGAGGAAACATCAACGCATACATAGTGGCGAAAAGCCATTTTGCTGTGATGTATGTAATAAGTCATTCAATGAACAGACTAATCTGAACAACCATCGACGCATACATAGTGGTGAAAAGCCATTTTGCTGTGATATATGCAACAAGTCATTCAGTATGGTAAGTAATTTTAAGACACATCAACGCATACATAGTGGGGAGAAGCCATTTTGTTGTAGTGTATGTAATAAGTCATTTAGTCGGCACTTTCATCTGAAGAGTCATCAGCGCATACATAATGGGGAGAAGCAATTTTGCTGTGATGTATGTAATAAGTCATTCAGGGATCTGAGTGCTCTGAAGGTACATCTACGCATACGTAGTGGAGAGAAGCCATTTTGCTGTGATGTATGTAAAAAGTCGTTTATTTCAAAGTGTGTTCTGAAGCAGCATATGCACATACATAGTGGGGAGAAGCCATTTTGATGTGATGTACGTAAAAAGTCACTTAGTCATGAGAGTAATCTTCAGAGACTTCATCGCATATATGTTGATGTATGTAGTAAATCAGATCAGTAGAAATGGGTTTAGACTAAAGGAACAGTATGTGAGTTGTAGCATGCCACAGTATTTCATTTTGTAAGTAAGACAGTTTTGCTGTGTGTGACATGCTTCAGTTTTGTAGAATGCTACAATATTGTAACATGTTTAGATTACTGAAGACGCCGTTTGGATTGTTAATTTGTTTATTTAACAACCTACAAATCTCGGCTACAATTAATTATAACAATGTTATGGGTTTACACAATTTACCAACCCTCCACACAAATCAATTTACTCTGTCACGATTCACTCGTTACAATTCAATTCAACTCGTAACTCGCTGCTGGCTAGATTCCAACTCAACTCCAACGATTCACTGCTGGCTAGATTCCAACTCAACTCGTAGGCTGCTGCCTTGAGAACTCACTTCAGTGGCTGATACACTTTTAACTCTTTCCCTGCTGCCTGGAGAACTGTCTTCGGCGGCTGATACACTTTTAACTGACAACAACAACTGAACTCGGCGACGGCCACATTTCAACTCAACTGTCTTTGTAGGCAGTGTAGCTCTCTTATATAGTTGCAGTGCCCGCCTGATACACAATGGGTACCGCTGTTGCCTGTTACCCATGTCACAGCTGCGTTGCGTGTTATGTCACTGCGGGTAGTAACGACAGCGCTACAGTGCCACCACGTACTGCTGGGGGGGGGTCCTTCATTGCGCAACATGTCACAATATTGTGACATGTTGCAATGTGGATGAAGCCCTCCCCCCCCCAGCCGTGAGGCGCCGAGCGGAGCCGAAGTTAGCTGAGTCCCAGCATACTGGTCGCTATGCAACGCGAGTCAACAGCGGTGATGTAACACGGGACGCTGCAGTTACTACGTAGCGGTAAACAACCCCCAACAGTGTTGCTAGGCTATCGGTTACCACGGCGGCAGACAGCAGTAGTTGCGAGAGATGACGGTAATAACAGTGGTAGCTCTTATGTACTGTTTTCTGTGTTGTCCAGAATGGGGCTAAATAAGGATCAGTGAAGACTATTCAAGAGTTCTCAATCTAGCCAGCAGTTAGTTCTCAGTTCTCAACTTCTTGAGTTACGAATTCACGAGCTAGTTCCAGTATTGAAGTTCTCGAGCTACGAGTTAAGAGTCAGCCAGCTAGTCTAGCATTTGCAGTGTAGTAATTGTAATACTGCACATAGCAGTAATTGTGAATCTGTGAATTGTGTGATTGTATTAGCGAGTGTGGAATAAAATTCGCTATACTCAATATGGCGTGAAGTTATTTGTCACGTTATATACACCGAATACGTGACAATATATTGAAGTTTATTACTGTTGCTAACCTTTCAAACTGAGTGAGTCCCATGGTACAAAACATCTGTGCAAATGAGTTCCATTTGATTCTGACTGCTGAATGTGCACAAGCCCTATCTTGTTGAGTGGAAACAGAAATGACATGACATGACATTCTCCTGTAGTTATGTTAATTCAGCATTGGAAGCTAGTGATTAGTAGAGTGTAGTCACTGAAACGGATCGACAGCTTATACACGTAATTCAGCAGCATCATATCCTTTTTGCTGTGTTATCTCTGCTCTTCTGCCATTATATGTGAGTAAATTTGTTGATCAGTTAGTTTCAGATCGATATATCGCTTGGATTGAGTACACTGAGAGAAGTGTTATGGATTGGTCAGATGAATACAAACTGTGCTATATTGGACATTGCAGACAAAATATATTTCTGCGATATACTTGGTATATTGATTAAAAAAAATAAATAAAAGGCGGTTGATTCTGCTTTTGGAGAAATGAAGTAGTACAGAGAATTTAATTTAAAGGATCATGAAATTCTTGCTTACATTTTTTTCACTGTGAATTCAGCGGAGAAACTGAGCAGTCTGTCATGAGATCAAAAAGAGAAAGTGGTTTGGCAATGAGGCACTCCTTTTTGCTTTCAGTCTCATTTGCATTAGATGGAAATTATCAGGTAAAAATTGTGAAATATTTTTTAATAAAATTAATCAATGTCATTATTACTATAGGATTCTGACGATGGTGTATAACACAGAGATATTGGGTTTTCGGACTTTATCCATCGTCCTGGTTTTAAAGATAACTAACAAAAACACAACGTTTCGGAAACTGGATCTGTTTCTGTCCTCAGGTGAAGGAAAACACCTATTCTGTTGGGTCCCTTAGAAAGAGCTAGCCTCAATCACTGGACAACCGATGTCACAAAACACAAAGGTTATGAACACCTGAGACCGGGCTAAGTCCATGAGAGCTAATCTACAAATAATCGAAAACAAGCTCCACAACGATGTCACACTGATGGAACGGTCTGTCTTGCAGGTCGAAGCCATCATGGAGCTGCTGGAAGTCTGTTTGAGAACCACCTGTTTTCAGGTCGACAAGTTCTTCCAACAGAAAGATGGCATGGCTATGGGAAAGTCTCTCTCGCCTGTCGTTAGCAACATATTCATGGAGCATTTTGAAAAACTAGCTCTTGACCCAGCACCGTACAAACCATCATTGTGGCTGCGATACGTGGATGGCACTTTTGTAGTCTGGCCTCTTGGTCCAGAGAGATTACAGGATTTCTTCGACCACCTCAACAGTGTAAGGCCATCCATCTGCTTCACTATGGAAACTGAGTCAGACAATGCGATCTCTTTTCTATACGTTCTGGTCATCAGGGAAGAGACGGCACTAGTCACACAAGTATACAGGAAACCCACCCACACTGGCCAGTACCTCAACTTCAAATCTAACCATCCACCACATGTAAAAAGAGGCTTGATTAAATGTCTCCACAACAAAGCCTCCACCATATGCCAAGATCGACGAGATTTGGTCAAAGAAATTAACCTGAGACACGACCTTCAGTTGAACAGTTATCCCAAAGGCTTCATTCACTCGGTCATTAATTCCAAGGGCAGTAGACGTCCGAAGAAAGAGAAAAACCCTCAGTGTTCTGTATATATTCCATATATGAAGGGTGTTTCTGAAAAGTTTAAACGGATAGGTAATTGATATAATATTAGTACCATCTTCCATATGAAAAACTCTCAGGAACTCTCTTATGAAAACTAGACTGAAAAGAGATCCGCAACAGATGGCACAGTGCGTCTATAGCATTCCCTGTGAATGTGGCAGAAGCTACATTAGTGAAACAGGCAGACTCTGGCCGTGCGGCTCCAGGAACATAGGCATAACCTCAAAGAAGGTCTTCTAGAAAAATCTAAACTAGCTCAGCATGCCTATGAAGAGGGACATAGGGTAGGCAGGGATGAAGCTAAGATTTTGGATATTGAAAGCCACATCAGGTATAGGAAATACAAGGAAGCGGCCCATATGGCATGCTCGGCCAACCCAATTAGCAAACCCAGTTTGGATTTTTCTCCCATTTGGATCCCTATTATCAGCAATGAAGTCACCAATTCACATAGAAGATTTGTATGACGTGATATATGTTGTATCCCTATGATGGTGATGAGATTCAAGAGGTTAGCCGAGCGGGAGACTGTTCCTTGTACTACGTCCGACACTTAAGGATTGAAATCCAAGTCGAACTCGCAGTACAATACAGTGAATATATTTAATATAAATAGTGTTGATACAAATGTACAGAGATCAAGAGTATTGCATGAATAGAAGTTTATGAAGTCCCTATGACGGTGCACAGAGACTCAGTGCAGTGTATGAACCGAAATCTATGAAGTCTGCTCTGCGCCCCAAAACATGGTCTTTTAAAGAGGCTAGGATGGACATTGGCTGGCAGTCACACGCTATAATTTCACGTGGAGTTCATGCTCATAGCAGATGATCGCAAAGTTCCTTCTTCTCTAGTCAACAAACAAGTGTTGCATCATGCGTGTTTGTCTCAACCAGAGTGGCACTCATTACGCCACAGACAAGCACTGCAGCTATATAAGTGGATGCACAGTGCGTATCGATCAGTTCGAGTTCGAGTTCTAGTGTGGCTACCGCAGAGTTGTACTGAGACAGTCAGCGAGTCCTGGAGCTACCGCCGAGTTAGCCAGCAACTAGTCAGTTGTATTGTGGCATTTTTCAGTGTACTATTTGTGATACTGCAGATAGCAGTAATCGTCAGATTGTAATTTGGGTGATTGTAAGAGCGAGTGTGAAATAAAAGTCGCTACATCAAATACATCGAGAAGTTATTTGTCGCGATATACCCCGCGATACGCGACAACTGGTG